CCTAACCTTTCTTACACCCTTTCCATTCCTCTTAAAAATTTTATAGAGAATGCAACAAAAGCTAAATGTTAGCCTGAGTCGCTTGGTCTTCCAAAATACTAAGTTAACATGTATGGATACTCGTTATTCAAAAAAAAATAATAATAATTTTTTTTTAAAGTTATCACAGGAACAGACATAATCTAGGAGACCAGCAAGTCTTCTAGATCTTTTATATGAAGCTGATATGCAACAAAAAAAGCTTAGGTGATTTTTTTTAATGTCTGCTCTGGATAACACTGCAATCCTTCAATGCACACAAAAGGAGAAGTATCACAGCTTACAGTTCATCAGTATTTGTTATTTGCTAACAAGTCCAGGCACTTCCTGCAGAAACTCAAGATATAAATAATAAATAAAATACGGCATTGCTCTTATCTGCAAAGTGCAAAGTAACAAGCATTGCAGCACTATACATATCACATATCCACATAATCTAACTCCTACGCTTCTTTAAAAACAAAACATTATTTTTTCTGATTTCTTAACTTGAATAGACCACAATGAATATCTCAGATTCTATTCAACAGCACTGCAATAACATTGAGAACAGGCCGCACATTTATATTTACTACCGATTTACCACCATTTAAAACTAGATCTTTTAGAAAAAGTTCAGACATTAATCCCAAATCAGGATAAAATTCCCGTACTGTTTTATATGTATGTCAGATTGTCCCTAAAAATTGAGTTTCCAGAGCTGAGACATGAGAAAATGAGCGTGCAATCAAATCTACATACCAGAAAACTGATGGCTACAGTAACAAGTATATTAAGTCAGTATACTGGGCAAAGGTTCTCTTACGGTTACAGTCATTTGACCTTTAGCCAGCTCTTAATGCCCCAGCCAACGCTCTAAAGATGGAGATTTGCAGCAGCTTCTTGTCTGAAGTAAGCCATGAAAAGATTCTTCTGAACCCACTGTACAAGCATTCATTTAAAATGTCATGAATGTGCATGAAATCAGAGTGCTTCTAACAGCTTACTTCGTAGCTTCTGTTTAAATGCACTAACTCTGAACCACCAGAGGATAAAAGGACTCAAACCTTTCAGTCTGGCACTCATGGACCTAAAATATACACAAGCACCTCTTCACAGGTGTGTTTACCTAGTTTAAACCTTATTTAAATAGACTCTTGATGCACACACTTTCCACAAACATCTGCTTCTCCCACTGCAGTGCTGACTTGTACACGGCAGTTGTATTCAGTCATTTTCTGTCCTAAAGCCATCCTACACACCAGTAAGCAGTACTTCAGTCATGAAAATCCTGGTTACTGACGCATCCCCCCCAGTCAGAGCAAAGCACAAATCCTGCAGTGAAGAAAACGACTACAGAAGTACCTGCTCTTACCTCTACATTGTACTGGAATGGTCTGAAGGCTTCAACAGCTACAGCAAGATTTAAGGAAACCCAATCCTCGTCAGATCATGGAAAAGCAGGCTTATAATTAATTCACATTTCCAGCCATTTGTGGTTATAAAACCTCTCCCTAGTGAGCTCAAGAGCATCCTAAGTTGGAAACACTCATGAAAGAGAAGATGCCCAGTTATCACTGGATGTCAAAAAGAAGCTTCCTTTTGTTGACCTAAATCCATAACAAAACTGACGAAATGAACAAATATTTCAACATCCAGGCACATTTTCTAGATACTCAGCTTACTTTAAAAAGCAGTCAAATGGAAGCCATGGTGACAGTGACCCTAGATCCAAACTTGTATCAATACTAAGGCTTCTATCAGTTTTAAAATAACCTTTGAAGATGTAGTCATATTTCAATTTTGCATGCATGGACCAAGCTTGATAGTCACTGCTTCCATATGGTCGTAACTCAGGACACTGATTTTTGCTTTTTCTAAGCATTGGAAATATGAGACACTGCATCAAACTTAGGCTTACGGTGCTTATCTTAGTACAACAAGCATTCACCTATTAAATTTATCTTGGAGTAACTTATGCATCACCCAAGATGACAGAACCTCTATTTTTCCTTTCTGATTTTCAAACAACTACTATCAATAATAATTAGAATATATGCAGCCCAGAAAAGTGTAAAAATGGCATACAATAAACCAAATGATAGTGGATCAGAGCAGACATGCTGTTCATTTTCAAATTATTAAACTGTTTTTACAAATCTACATAAAATTGCCACAGAAATTAAGTTTCTCTGTCAGAATTTTAAAGAGCAACATCATTCCACATAATTCAGGTCCAAGGCCCTTAGCTAGGTACGCTGAACGGTAGAAGTGAAGTTACTCTTACCATAACCATGGGATTGTTTGTGCTGAGCAACAGCACCTTCTCTAGATGCTTCCTTCAAGAGCCCATTTAGACATTACAATGGGATGGGATACCACTACTTAGTTGCAGGCAAGCTTTTACTATTTTGGTAATCAAATAAAACACATTATGTAATTTACCTGCTCTTGAGGAGCAATACTTTGAAATGGGAATCTTTAGTTGCTGGAGGCATACGGTGCATCTTTATACCCTTGACCAGGGTATTTCAGCATCACAGTCATGACAGAGTTAATACCCACTAGCTCAGAGGAGAACAAAAGGTACTCCACTGCAACATGCCTAACATTTACATTGCCTCTCTTTGCTCATTAAACAGGTTTTGGTTAAATAATGAACAAACTGTATTACAGACTCCGATGAGAATTCCAAAATTATAAATCAACTGGTAAAGCCCAGAGGAGAATGAAGGGAGTGGGAGGGAAGGAAGGATAATATTGACTAATATAAAGGGCGCAGCTTGACAGTGGATATTCCTGCCACACCTGATCAAACATGCTCCATGGGGGAGGGGAAGGGAGGGCGAGAGTAAGAGGGGAAATGGGACAAGGCAGCCTGAAATTTGCATCCGGAACAGATTAAAATGGGTTCTTGGGGGATTGAGAAAATACATAATATATATTACTATAAATGCAAAATTGTACTAAAAGCTAACTCAAATGTCAAAGATTACAGCTTGAATAAATTTAAATATAAAAGCAATGTGTTTCCATGAGCTAATGAAAGAGACATGAACGGAAGGTCTAGGCAAAAAAAAAAAAAAAAAAAAAAAAAAAACAAAACCAAAACCCAAAAAAAAACCCCAACCCAAAACCTGGAGGAACACACCCACAAAAAAACCTAAGCTTGGACTTTTCACTGCCTGGAAGATGAGGCAGGAGGCTCTGTATCGTTCAAGTATTGCTTGGGAACCAGTCCATGTCTAAAACTGAAAAAAATGGAGCATAGCAACGATGCCCTATCTCAAGACACTAGATGGTAAACAGCAGTCACTGAAGCTGAAATGACCTGTTTAAAAGAATCCCATGTAGTCAAACCAACGTGCCATCATCACCATATATAAGCAACTATTACCTCAGCATGAACCACACTACATGATGACTAATACTCACAGGGAGTCTCTGAATCTCTCAGTACATTAAACTTTACTTTCTCTAACAAAAGCAGATAGTGGGCTTGCATTTTTTTCCCCCAACAAGTCAACAGCACATTGTATCTAGCTACTCCAGATAAATGGCCAGTCCCTGACATTTACTCATACTGCATTTATTTGAGCATCCTGACATTCCCTGCTCTTGTTGATCAGAAGAGATATTTGCAATAATGGCAAAGAACTTCAGGAGTCTTGAAGAAAATTTTATCTCATAGAAGGGAGAGAAGGAAAATTTCCTCCCAAAACACTTTTGGTGACTGCATGCATATCCTACAGAAGATGAGTGAGCTTACAAAAAAACACAAATCCAGACTGTCACGTGGTCTGGGTACAAGCATAACATCCAGAACAAAGATACTATCCAGAAATGCAAGTTGTGCAGGAGTTCCCTAAGATGTCATGACCTGACAGAAGAGTCCTGCTCACAACCAAGGGAAGTTCACCTGGCACAGAAAAGTAAAGCATTACACTTACAGGCAGCCACAAAAGAGAAAGGAATAAGGGCTTAGAACTGGCACATGTCTTCAGCACCTCTCGTCAGCACCGGGAAGCGGCACTGTACTTCTAGGGAACATACTTTTTATGGGATTCCAGGCTCAGCACTGACACAAAAATGGGCACACTTTGCAACCAGAAATGCAAAAAGTCCATCTCAAACTTAGGTTGAGTGCAGTTCTGAACACTCACTGTAATAAAGGGACCAGAAATAAAGCTTACTTTCAAATATTACAATCAGTAAGACAAATCTTGGGAAGAACCAGCAGAATGCCACATGCAGCTCAGGATTAGCCTCACTTCCAGACTCTCAACATATGCTTAGGTTACACTTAAACAATCACTCCTGAAACTACAAAAAGAGAAAATGTGGGGGGAGAGGGGAGAAAGATGGCTTGGGAGAAAAAAAACTGGTCAGAACACATATCACAGCTTTGTGTTCTACTTCTGTAATCAATATAGATTTCCAATTCCTTTCAGTGTAACTCGTCACAAAGGAAGCCTTTCACTTCAAAAGTCAAGAAACCCAAATGGAAAGCGAAGCCTGTGCTTCACTTGTTACTGATAACAGATGATGAAAACCAACAAACCAAAGAATGTCAGGAGAAAACAGATAATGGGAGGCTACTTTCTAAGCAGATTCTTCCCATCATTCACAGATCAGAAAGCATAAACAAAGCACAGAAAGACTATGCATAATAATACACGATTTCATATATTACTACAAGCTTCAGTATATTGAAGAAACACACACATTTATATATAAAAAAATGGGGGGGGGGGGGGGGGAGACAGACAGACAAACAGACCTCTCTCTCCAGATAGTGGCAGCAGTGGTATTTGTGTACTAGTTTATGATGGTATTATTTGTAAGTATATACATATTTGCTCTTTTCTTGTTATTCAGTATATGATCTCTGGACAGTAAATAAGACAAACAAGTACACCTGTACATTTATTTACATATATCCTAGCAGATACACATACCTGCTGATTTCTGTATAAGCTTACCTGTTATATTATTCAGCACTTCTTTTAAGAGGCTAAAGCTATGCAGCAGGGGATCCCTTTCTTCATCCTATAGGTTATATATAGGAAGGAAGTCATTAACGAGGCAAACATATTCCTGAAGAAAAATCTTAATAATGGGTGTGTAAAGACCTCACCTTCGTATTCACAGAAGTACTGTGGGTTGAGTTTATCACGGTCAGCGTGTTTATTCCATCAAAATCAAAAGAAGCATTTTTGTTTTCCTGCTAGTGCTCCCCAATGCCATACAGCTCAAATGTCAAAGCATAGGTTCAAGACTGAGCATTCTGGTTTGGTTTTATTGTCCTTAGAAGTATTTCTGATTAGCCTTCCACTGTTCAATAAATTTCAGAGCAGATCTACCTCATACCATATTGAAATGGCTCATCTGGATTTGCTATAATGTTAATCTATGCAGATTGTAACGGGAACAGAAATACAATGACATTTGGTGCCATTAAAATAACTTGAAGAAAGAATCACAGTGCAAAATTTACATGAAAAGCTGCATCCTTTAGCCTTAGTCTGTCTTTACAATATTAAAATAAGGACAAGCAGCAGTTTCTCCAAGCTGTGTACATCCGCAGCCACACCTCCTACTGGGTGGCAGTGAGCTCTAATGAAGAAACGCCTGTTAGAAAGAAAAAGGGCCCTGCCCTTTGACAAACTGAAACCACTTGTGCTGGATGACAGCCATCTGCTATTCATGTGACATTCTGAAGTGCACCACAGATACAGTATGCCACACGCAGACATTTACACTGTGGAAGCCATAAACTGACCAATGCATCGTTAGACTTGGAAACATTGTATTAATGGCTTTTAGCAAAACAGGTTTGAAAGTATTAACAGGTTGCAGTCAGGAATATAGCTAGCAGTCACAAAACAGAGTTAAAAAAAGATACTATGCTGTATGAAAAATTTAAAAATACCCTATGTGTAATGACTTCCCCAATTTTTATTTCATGGCTTTCATGATGAAGACCATCTTCTCTAAGAGGGCACAAAAGATATATAAAAACACTGTGCTAAATAATGTAACACCATATATTCAAAATCCCTGACATACCAGGAGATAAAAGTCTAAATGAGATGATTCCCATGTGGAATACAATGTGGGGTTTTTTTGTTTGTTTACAGGGTATATAGGTAGAAGATTTCCAGCTCTGTACCTCTTACAGTCACAGGCACACAAGAAGCCAAAACTGCTCAGCGTGAAACAATGTAGAAAGTTATTCCAACTTTACTGATGAAAGTACTATGACGAGTGCTAAAAAAAATGGAGGTACTTTTCTAAAACCAGGTGGTTTCTGCCATAGCACGAACAGGTAGCAACAATTCAAGGTAACTTACCAGATGTGTGTGAGTGCTCCATCGGGCATTACGCTTTATGGCTCCCACCACCGCATTGATTTCACCTTGTACAATGTAAATGTTCTTATCCACCATCCTGACAATCCTGAAAATAAAGGTAATTCAAATTAATCTCCAGTCCCTCAGAATCATTCTCTTCCTCAGATGAAACATCAAGTTGGCTCTAGTCAAGCAGGAGGGCCTGAAGAGATGCGTC